AAAATGCGTTTTAAAACTTCGATTTAACGATTCACACGCGACCAAGTAAGCTTCGTTGAGTCAAATTAAGGATCCACATTATTGAGAAATCATTAAAAATCAGGTCTTTCCTGCAGTAAATAATCTTCAGAATTATGCAAAATCTCTCCCCAGAAACACGGGAAATAGCCATTGAGGGACTCCAGATTTCAAAATTTTCCCGGGGGAGAATGCCCCCGGACCCCCTAAAAAGGCTTACGCCTTCGGCGTTCGATATATGCCCTCCCAAAAATTATAGTCTGGCTACGCCACTGCATTCACGGGTCACAAAAATACCCTTTCCCACCCGGCTCATTAATATCGCTCTCTGATTCTCAATAAAAATCGCAGTTTATAATACGTATTGGGAACACTGATACGATTGGGAATCGTGAGAATTTGTATATAGATGCCATTACGCCAATGCAAAATGGGTTACACACTTTAATACACTTGATCCAATTTTGATTGGGACTATGGTCTACATTTCGTAGACCATAGCCCCGTATAAAATGGGCCAAGTATAAAATTGGCCAGGTATAAAATGGGCTGTGATAGTTATACCATAGAATAGGAAGGTATACCAGAAGTCTCACTCAAGCAAGTATTTGTCCGCTTTTTTACAAGCGATTCGTCCGATCATCAATCACGCCATCCTGGCTAGTACAACCGGCACTTTGTACCTATCAAAACCTGATAAAAACTTCTGGCTGTACCACAGGCGGCCCAATCTCGCAAGGGTCAGTATAGACTTTATATAGTATGAATGTATATTATATTAATGTATATTATAGTAAAAATATGTCGTAAAATATAAGTTTTAAAATGAAATTGACTTGCCTATTTGATAGTGTGTGTTCTCCTTTTATTCCTCCTTTGTTGGACTAATATTTTCCAAGACTTTGTACTCGATGTTACTAGTATACATGAAACATGATCAAGGCTAACGATTCCCGATCGTCGATACGACGGCACGGCACTTTGAATCGAAAATTTTCACACTCAAATCGCTTTATTCTCCAAACAAATTCGCCAGCATGTACAACAAATGCCGTTCTTCGAAAATACAGAGGTACTTCGGCGAGATGTACAAGTTTTGGACCATATTTTAACAAGGGAAATCAAAACCCATTTTATATTGAACTTACCCGGACCGAAAATTACTACGGCGAACGTCTGTGCAACCAGGCCTCCTTTACCGTTGGATTTACAGGGGGGGAGGATGCCACTAATATATTCACGATAATATTTTGAATTAAAGTATCATATTCTACCATACTTTCCAACAAAGAGCCGCTGTATATTACTTCTTCCTTAAATTTCTTCAATCTCCGTCCTTTAATTTTCTTTTCTTCGACAATATCTCGAGTTTTATACAGTATCCGATCGAAGGAGTTTTTATTTTGAATATCAAATTTCAAATAATGTAAACAGTCGCTACGCGGCCGCGATTGGCTGGCTGTTACCGGAAATATCTGCTTCCCCCCCTGTAAATCCAACGGTAAAGGAGGCCTGGTTGCGCAGACGTTCGCCGTAGTAATTTTCGGTCCGGGTAAGTTCAATATAAAATGGGTTTTGATTTCCATTGTTAAAATATGGTCCAAAACTTGTACATCTCGCCGAAGTACCTCTGTATTTTCGAAGAACGGCATTTGTTGTACATGCTGGCGAATTTGTTTGGAGAATAAAGCGATTTGAGTGTGAAAATTTTCGATTCGAAGTGCCGTGCCGTCGTATCGACGATCGGGAATCGTTAGCCTTTATCATGTTTCATGTATACTAGTAACATCGAGTACAAAGTCTCGGAAAATATTAGTCCAACAAAGGAGGAATAAAAGGAGAACACACACTATCAAATAGGCAAGTCAATTTCATTTTAAAATTTATATTTTACGACATATTTTTACTATAATATACATTAATATAATATACATTCATACTATATAAAGTCTATACTGACCCTTGCGAGATTGGGCCGCCTGTGGTGAAACGTAAGGATTTCAACAGTTGTGTTTTAAGAAATTACATTAATTTGTATATGTACATTCATACAACACCTCATTAAACATTGATTTCTTTTGATTTTTTTTCATGAACTGTTGATGAGTTATAAATACATTGAGTTCCTTGTATGTTTGCAATTTATTGTTTGCACAAAAGTGAATAAACGTATATGTATGCCAAAAACATAAAAATTCGATAGCAAATGCCCTAATTAGCCAGAGTATATAAATGCAATTGGTGTGTTGCATGAGTGTTGGGGATCTCGGCACGCTACAGTAAGTCAGACTCCAAGTAAAGTTAATATATACATGATTTTATTCTCGTCAGTTACTCGTAAGCTATACTACTCACATTTGGCAAATGACAAGCGGTCAACATTCGATTTGGTTTTTGAATTAGGAACAAGACGGATACAACAAGATGTTCCATTTGGCTGTGTTTTTTTACATGTCAAGTTTCCAGTTGCCACATTACGTCCATCGCCAATCGGATAAAAAATAATATCATTCGCGACCGTTTCTTTAAATCCCAAATGCTGACACAGCATTTTCTGACTATTTTCATCCCAATGTTCTTGTTTAACGTACCACCAAGTTGAGTCATCCTCTATTTGGATGTGACCTTCGTTTGGCAGTCGTGATAATCTCATCTTGGTTGCTAAAACAAAAAGTTTACAACTGAAGAGCCAGTTTTCTTTTTGGAAATTGTAAATTTAACTTTTTCAACCGCTTTAAAATTTATGTCGATTGACCAGAGCGTGGGTCTTATAGAGAATGTGAAAATTCTTTTCACCGTGGCGTCAAGACCTTGCCTTTGGGTTCAATATTTAATACACTTTCGAAAAATGCATACACTAAAAATTAGTTGAGTGGGAAGTCGAGTTTCTCTCCCAGAAATTAGTTAACGCATGCGAATGAAGGCAAATGATAGGCTGCGTGAGAAAAACAATTCAGCCCATTGTCAATAGTGGATTCAGACCATAAGTTAAGTTTAATTTTAGGCCTTAAACGATTCAAAGTGAAATAAGCTTGCTATCACATGTATACGCAAGTTGTTCAGATATGGGCATGCATGTTAAAATGCATATCCGTGCCAAGAAATTTCCACGATATTATTATATTATAGACATCTCCACACATGAGGAAGTATAAGCTAAGTTTTTAGGTATAACACCAGCATAAGTAAAAATAATATAATAATAATCATAATCATAATACATTCAGGCGGCCTACATCACTATTTTAGTGCTTTTCAACAGGGCTCTGCATGTATACATGTAACTAAGTTATTATTAACCAACGTTTGAGTATTAGAAGATTAATTTTAAAAATTATATATAGACATAAAAAATTTGGAAACAGCACGTTAAAAAATGAATAAACAAAACAAATTCCTAATATTCACAATCACATCTAAGACGCTCCAGTCCGCAATAAAATTACAGTTCGATCTAAGTAGTCCTTTGCATATTGTATATAATCAATACACCCAAACCATGAATTATTCTCATGTCAACGATTTTCCCAGAATATTGAAAAGGAAACAACGGGAATTAAAATACACATGCTCATCACCACAACAAGATCTTATTCTATATAAATAAATGTAACACTGTATCCGAAGCTTGCATGCATGGTGGGTGAATTCCGAATGCTCAAACCACATGCCCTATAGAATGTAATTTGCGCACACATTTGGAGCAATAACAGTCTTCGGATGATAATACAATACCACTATACTTACCGTGAACCATCAATAACGATATGCCATACAAGATTAGCCATGGATAAATTAAGCACGACATTCTGCCGTTGCCTTAATACACTGAAATGAATTGTGAGTGTCTCGCGATTTTAGCCTTCGCATTTCGGAAAAGTGAAAGTTAAAATCACGAGGTCTTTGCCTTCGTACTTTCACATTTTTGAACCTACACAAAAAATGTATATGTTAATTAAACTTGATTTTATCTAAAGATCAGGTACTATACAGGGATTGAGTTTATGTAGACCGTTTACTTTTTCATATCAATATAAATATTAAGTTTCAAACTGTCAAATGATACCTTTCTTGCATCAATGCAAACAAAGATGGCTAAACACGATACGATTAAACTTACGGGTTAAAATCACATTTTCACATCTTTGTGCATAATAATGTTCTTCGAATTCTTGGATATTTGCCCAGGCTAAGGTTGGCCAACTGCCAGAACTTCTGCATCCCAAGTTCTCTGCAAATTTCCTGCTTCGTACAAAGAAACACACCATCCAGCAAAGGTCGACGTTGGTGAGAATTTCCTGACATCGGCTCCCATGCATGCAACAACCAGTCAGATACGGCCATGCCAGACAAGTGGATAATAATATCTAATCGCAGGGATAATATCTAATTTTGTTCATTAAATGAAGTTGAACACCTGCTTGACCCAACCCATTGTGTTCCTGACCTACTTCCAGCTAGGTATATAAGAACAAAGGATTAATTATACAGGTTTTCAAACATATAGATCTGAATAGTACAGCTTTAGTAGAAAATTTAGCTTTTATCAAGTACCACGTTATTGAGCACGCCTCACCACTCAAGGTCGATTTAAATGTGCAGTGGCGATATTATTTTGCTCTTGGACTGGGCAATTCCTTTCAGACACGGAAGTGTCCTGAGACATCAGGACAGTCAGAAGGAGTTTTACCAGTCCTCGGGCTGACAGAGTGACAGGGAAGCTTTGTCAACAACTTAACTTTGGATTAGCCCGCGTGCAGGCCCAAGGGAAGAATATTCTTCCCTTGGGCCTGCACGCGGGATAACTTTGGATGAGTGTGCCATGCAACCGTGACAACCAATTATAAAGCAAGCAGATGCTTTCGGCAAACTCGCTTACCCAGTCGGGAAGTCAGGGGGATACTCTAATACTCGATTTCTAATCTGCCATTTGGCCTGGTTTATAGGTTATCGAAAAGATGATAAAAATATTATTCATTTACGTTAGAATTTATTAAAAATTTAGATATATACGCAATTGTGAAAGACTTAACATCCAACAAATATTATCACATGCATGCATGCATTGCTTCTATATATTTTACAACCTGTATTAATTTCAATTAATTTAATATCCAAATTAATTTTAGTTCTTTTAAGTCCTAGTACTCGTACTGTTTATGTATTGACAAATCTATGACCAAAATAAAGTTTTTAAAACTATTAAAATACGTATGACAAGTTTTCGCTTTAAGCGTATACAACTAAGTTAGTTTCTTCTTTTGAAATTTATTATTATGAATATATACTGGGATATAGTTGGTTACTCGAAATTAGCGTAGTCACTGAAGCCATCCAGGTACGCCATAATGGCAGTGTAACAGAACTCGTACTGTTCCTAGAGAAAAAAACAATGTAAATTTTGTTATAATTCTGGGCCCAGTTGTTCAAAAGCCGATTTACTTAATCCTATAGACTAACGAAAAGTCCAAGGCTTGTTCATAAACTTAAAGATATTTTTCCAAAATTCTTGTCTGGATCAATAGAAATGTTCTCTCCAAAGTTTTGAAATAAACAGAACTGCGGATGTACCCATATCAAAACAGTTGGTTAAATTCTAACAAAGCTAGGTTGTACTTACGGCATTTTCCACAAATTGTGGTCGTGTTCCTCTGATGATTTTTATGGCTTGGAAGACATCCATTGTTTGTTCAATTTTCATTCGTTCAAGAAGGTTTGAAATGGCAATGTATGTTCCTGTACGTCCTGCTCCATCGCTAAAATATATAAGTATAAAATTCTATCCTATGCAATTTGATCTGTAAAATATCAAATTCAGCTATTAATTAAATGCATATGCATGCGGACATTATGAGGTAGAAAAGGAAAAATATTTGCTAATCAGTCTTTCTTTGGATTTCCAAAAGCTTTCTAAAACAAAAGAAACTTTTCATTTGCCATATATTTAAGGGCGATAAAATTCGATTGTGTTGCAATATACCGGGATTCTCATATTAAACTATTATGATTTATTTACTTGGCAGGGAATAGACCTTATGCATAATGACTTCACAAGGCTTGATGCCCGCGAGGAATGCTAGTCTTAGTAGTCATCGTCCAGAAAAATTTCGATAATGGCCATTTTGAATTGTTTAAATTTCCCGGGCGATGACCACTAAGACCAGCATTCCTCGCGGGCATCAAGCCTTGATGAATGATGACGCCGGCTCCCACCGGTACTTACAAAATGAATACAGTATCTATAACAGAGAAGGAAACTGATACAGAAAAGGCAACAGGGAATACTGCTGAAACGCTTTTTAATAATTTGTGAATGTTGTTTACTAATTCTTTGTCGCTATACATGAAAAACAAAACACTTAATATCTATACAATGGAAATACTTTGTTTTGTTTTTGCTTAAGTCAATCTCAAATGTTTCCGCTTCAAAATGTCCTTTCCAACTTATAAATTAGTCCCGTTAGTTCGATTAAAAATGGTTCAACTGACTACAGAGCAAAGAGATTTTACTCATAGATATCTTATATACACTAGTGCATCTAATTATTCTGCAATTCAAAAATTGAAGCCGTGATTGCAGTCTCAGGTCGTTCCCATGAAATGAGAAGATTCGTATGTTTTCTATTTCTTAAACAGGGAACTTAAACATTAAGTTAGCCCTATTGCAAATACGTTTTTAAACTATTCAAATGATGAAAGTAATTGTTGTTTTTAAGCGTTTATTAGCAAGTAGGAACGACCAACATGGCCGCCATCTATTGAAATGGGGGTAACCGCTGGAATATTTTTGGCTTCAATTTTACTAAAAGAGATGCGCTATCTAGTGTATATA